TCCAAATGAACAGAGATAAAAGTAGGGATAAATCGGGACGCAGCTGGCAAAATCGGGCTGCGGCATGAGGAGGTGTGTATTGTATTTAATGAAAATATTACGGAAATTTCAGGGATGAATCAGGACACGGTAGGCTCAATCAGTATGAAGGAAGATTAATCAGGATAAATTAAGAAAACCAGGAATAAATAGAGATAGATGCAGGAATAAACTGGGAGGCATCTAGGTAACTCGGGTGGTTTTGGATAACCGAGAATAAATCAGGGTGATTCGTGATGAATAGGGATGAACTGGGATAAGTCGCGACAAAACTAGGAATGGTATGTGAAATTGTGGAATGCCAGTTACTGGCCTCTGATTTCGCATTTAACTACCAACCAAAAATCAATGATCCCTTTCCCGCACCCCACAAATAACTGGACCACATTTTGCAATAAGGAACCACTATCTCCGGCTCATTTTAGAAACAACATATATGCCATTGGTTTCCTTATGCAGAAAGGCGCTTTTATAAAAGAACCAAAGATGGTGGTTCTCTACTGCAAAATGTAATGCAACTGGCCTTATTTTCCGTATTGCACCTCCGCCCGGTCACCTTGCTCGAGACACATCGCGCTCTGATCCGCTAGTCTTACATCTACTATAAAATGGTCCCCTCCGTCAAATTTAATCGACTACCATTCTCCCCCTACCTACCAGCGCCACCGCCTTCTCCACAATTGATCAATAATGTGTACCCATCCTCATATTTCAACGAATATACGTCCCCTCCCAAAGAACTCATCAATCACGGGCAATCTCTCTAGCAAGCGGCGTCGACCCAATAATCCCAACGCACCCAATAATCACATCAACTTCGCAATACCTTCAAAGGTCTTTTAATTTTCTGTCATTCGATGTTCTCCCTAGTGTTTTTGTGAAATTCAAGCAAAACCCAATGCAATTTTCTTGCCTTCAAATCGTATCTTAGATTGAAATGCATGGGGTGCTCTCATACCCAGACACGTACACATGGATCGCATTTAGCAAACGGGAACCAGCGCAATTACAGTGTTGTAAAAATGTTGCTTTTTCATAATTATCTGAAAAATCTCGCAAAAGAGCAATTAAGTTTTGCTTCCCACGAAAAATTGTTAATTTTAAAGGAAAGTAACAGCATACATTTTAATCCTGTACATATATTGAGTATTTTTAAAGGGAAAGAAGAAAGTGCATGATTTTGAAAACACTGTAGTCGCGCTGGTTCCTTTTTGCTAAATGCGATCCCCATTTACCCGTGTATGCTTATATTTTAGTCAAGTATAACACCAACTTCGTGTTCCTTGTTTCATTTATAAACTATGTATGATGTTGCTGTCGCAGGCAATAAGCAATTGCCGTCAATTTACAAGCGGTCCACATGCTGTTTCTCAGTGTAATGAAGATTTCATGGGTTGGAGCCTTCAAAAGCATGATCATTTTTTCGTCACACTCCACGCCTTGCCACAGAGTTCGTTTAGTTGCCTATCCCACCCAAACCCACCGAAGGTCTCGGATTTCACTACACGCTTTCCTGAGTGTACTGAGTGCAGTTTTTCTACAATGTTTATGCGGAGAGAAAAGTGCCGCTTTTCATATAGGCAAAATGTTCTTTATTTCTGAATTGTAAGATTTTCTACCTCCTCACTAGTGGCCCGCTAATTGCCCGCGATTGCTAATTGCCTGCGACATTACTAACCCGCAGAGGTGAAATTACTGCATTCTTCCTGTGAAGGAGAATAATTGCTCAGTGCATGTTGCAGTTATAAACCGAAATTTTAGAATTTTTATCAATTTTTTGCACAGTCCCTCATACTCGAAACCGGCAATCAAACAGTAGACCCTGGGAAAAAATCGATTAGAAGCGTTAAAAAAAAAAAAAATTAAACCGGTTGCATGATAATCGGAAGTAGCAGGTTACGAAAATGATGCGTATTTGGGGTTAGGGCGCCAACAGAACCGTATGATGTATTTTGAGTGTTGGTATGTAGCGATCCTGTCCCGTGACGTGTCGGTTGCAGGAGAAACAGCTCCGGCGGGACCCATTACATATGACACTCACAGTGCCCAAAGGCCGTTATTATTAATTAGTACATGCTGCATCCTGTAGTATATGTGAATACTCGTATAATAGCGAGCATATAGGCAGATAGGGCCCGTGTGTGAAACCGCCCCCTAGCTGAGCCCCACACCGCGCCACCCTCGCACTATCTCGATTGCCTCTTTCACTTTTTCAATTTCGAGACCAGGCTAGCAAAAACGACCCCAAAAAGCAGACGTGCATTCTGAAATCTTTATCTCGATTTTTGTACGGCGGACATTCCGGCAATAATGGGTGAATTCGTCCGCGTTTTTCCAGCAACAATGCTAATATTCTACCGTGTCACCTTTTTTCACGTTAATTTTTATTGTTTCGATCGTTCCATTGGTCGCTTTAGCATTCCACTCTTCCATCCAGGCTCCATTGGAAGCTTAATTAATGTAGATTTGTTTTTGCTACCAGCCTATGACGTGACGCATCGCGCGATCTGCCGACTGTTGGTTTGTTTCTCAGCAAGTCACACTCTCTGTATCTATAAGACTGCAATCGTTACCGCTAAAACAATGAACCACTAGGCAAGGCACAAGTTTAAGTAGTCTTAATATTTATATACTTCCCTTAAAATTTCACATAAAATATGATTCGCTCAACGAAAATTATTGGATATTGACTCCTAACCAAGATATTCTTCTTCTTCTTCTTCTGATGGTTTATTGGCTTATATTCCAACCAAGATATTCAAGTTTTTATTCAACTCTGATTACGAAACATTTAAAGTTCCCGCACCTAAGATAAGTCTGAGTCTACGTGAACCAAATTGCGCACTAGAACGCAGTTCTGCCTGGCTTCTTACTAAAACTGTGTTATTTACCCACCATGTGATGCTCAAAATGCAAACAATGAGCAGCAGCCGAGTCGAAGTGCCGAAATTTTGGTTGTTTTATTTTCATACCGCAGGGACTTTTACGGCAACATTTAGTGTGCGATTTCACTAAAGTAGATTTTGGTTTCTGTATGAACGGAAAGTTTAAATTAACGAATGAAAAAACGTGAATATTTCGGTGAGGAGTTACTTTTAATCATTCTCTTTGCACGACTCGTATTCAACATGAAATTTTGATCAGTAACCTTACATCATAATGTTTCAAGTCGCACCTTTTCCAGTGACTTATTGAATGCCAAATTCTGGCAACTTTTCATCAGTGTGCAAAACGTAATTAGGAACTTTCTAAAGTGTCAACCAAGAAACTAGGTTTTATTTCAACGTCCTGTCACAGATACAGGATCTAACATTAGCATGCAAACTTGTATTAACATCAGCGACAGAAATCAGTAGTCTCTCGTTGATAACAATGTTGCAGTAGTAATTGTAAAAACTACGAAAAAAAATACCACTGTGTTCTCCATTATCAATAAGACCGACGCTCCGCTTCATACGTCATCGAGGCCAGGCGATCGATTATCGATATTTCTTGATTTGAAACTGTGGTGTAGAATCTATTATGAAGGTGTTCGTTGCGAACACCCTGCTTATCGAAAGCACGCCACGCCACTTTTATTCATGACTCATGATGTGTTACAGAGGAAGATCTTGTGATCGAGTCGATTGAACTTTCTCTATCATCGATCAGTGTTTCAGATAAAAAATGACGAAGTTTACTCGTAACTATTTGTTCATAGTGGGTTAAAATGTTTTATTTCGTTCATCCTCTTTTGTGGGTTGACTTCACCCCAATACTCAGCCCCTTAATATAAAAAGAGTGGCAACAAACATGAAACCCCTTGACCCATGCAAAATCGCCGTCATTTTCAACTTCGGAAGAGCTGTTATGTGGAGTTAAGTTAGTATCCCCTCTCCTCTCTCTCTGTGAAACAAATGAATAAATAGCAAGCTTGAACTCGAAAAACACGTCATAAGCTGAGTCTAGATTATTCAGTGCACATCCACGGTTGTTCGTGCACAGTGAAACCGACCTCGGTATGTTGTTTCAGTATTGTCGAAGGAGGTCAACTTTTTGATCAATTTAAAAAAAGAAGAAATTGCAGCTTTTTAGAGCGACTCTTTTTAATTTTGAATAGAAGCATTCACGTGCACCAATTGTTACCTCCGGCACCTCTCCGGTTTAGTCGTCCCTTACTAAGAACCTACAAAATCAAAAGTCATTCTTAGTAATTCAAAATTTGTACGTGGGTACCGTTTGCTTTTTCGAGCAGACGGCAAAATTAGTAACAACAGATTGATATCCATCTATGAACAACAATCAATATCAATTATTTAATTTAATCAAATTTAAGCTGCAATTGAAAACTGTCAATGATCATTTTCACGCTCACAGTATTATTTGAAATTTTATTCTGCGCCAAAGTTGGTGGACGGAAAATCATAGCGAATATTTGATCAATGTTAACCTTTCATCGTATAAGCGTCGGCAGGGAAGGCTCACCTCGTACTATGCTTTTGGCGGAAATTGCCACCAACATGTTCCATTATTCATTGAGTCGTTAAAAGAGGAAGGGCACTAACAGCTCGAAATCAATTGTTTTGTATTGAATAATCGCAATATTGCCAGGAAAAGTTACCTCGGACTTTCATTATTTTAACGGCTAACAATTATTTAATTCTTTTTTTCTTCTTTTTTTTTATAAAACCAATAACATCTGCAAAGAGCATTGAACAAATCATCAAATTGGCAACACTCATTTTCTATTGATTAAGCATCTACCAAGGGCGCAAGCGCGAATGTTGCGCGATTGTGGATGATGTCTCGTATGTCCATCTTATTCTTCCCGAATCAATCAAAATAAAATATGTTCATGTACGAGCTTAAGTATGTTAAGAACCAGGCTGTAAAGGAATCGTTACCTACTTTTTATAGAATTTTTGTTATGCTCGGAATTCAGTCCTTACGTCCTTTACATTCATGATTTTGTCTTGTTGCAGATCGAAGACGCCATGTTAATGTTCGACAAACAAACAAATAGACATAGAGGTAAGTTGTAGCAAGTCTTTCATAAATCACATTAATTGTAGCAAATATTCTCTTTGGCCATGACAGTCTGAGGGGTTTTCCCCTCTTTTTAACTCACAGCGTGAACCCGAGCCCGAGCGAATGTTTTGTTGTAAAAATGGAGAGCTGAACTTTCCGGATCCAACTTTTACACCCGCGCTGAAGCTGAAAGCGTGTTTGCGTCATGGACTGAAGAGTTGCAAGCTTCCTACGTATGACCTAATTCCACTCGCAGCATTGATGAGTCAAAATTCGAGCCAACCCAAAGGATTAAAACTACACACATCCCTCTTGAATTTCTTTTTGTCGGGAAATCAGAGTGTCAAGCACCGCCGAAATGAGTGACGGGCAGCATTTGCAGATTAAAATGAACATGCCGTATCTGCATGACATTTTAAACGAAAGCCTTGTTTTACCACTATCGCAGTTCAAAACACTTTACCCGAAGTTAGTGTCTATATTGAGCATTTCCCCGAACGTGAATTGAAACTGTTGAAAAGTTATTTTAACATGCGACTGAGATGATTATCTGCGAAAAAAATGGACCTCGTCAGAGAGAAAATTAAACGCATATTGGTCTTCAGGATTGGAATGAAGTAGGCGTAGATTGAGAACGTTAATTGGAAATGTATTTTTGCTAGGAAATGACTGGTTTTCTTCCTAACCCAGCAAGTGTATGGAAAGTCAAGAATATTACAAAAATTAAAATAAGATTTTCATCGGAAAGTTAGATTTTCTGGAAGTCTTATGCAAGTTGAAAAAACAATTAAAGAAATTTTCAGATTTAGCAGCCATTGAAAAAAAGAAGAGAGAAGGATAAATGTTCTCTTATTTTAATGAGAAATTGTCCACGCTTTTTCAGCTAATATAACAAGTTATATTCGGTAAATCGGCACCAATCGTCCATAATCCACTATCAATGCCCAAGAAACAATACCGCCTGTTTGCAATTTGTTTTAAACATTACAGCGTCATTACGGCGTCACCATGCGGAATTGGGAAAAAAACTAAAAACATCAACTCGCGTATTTTATAATTTATACTATGAAATGCGGAAAAGTTCCTAATTTATTTCCACCTGAATCGGCCAGTTACAAAAGAGCACAAACGCCTAGACTGAGAATTCGAGAAAAACAGTAATAACCGTTTTACGAGTATTTGGCCCCATATAAATCATAGAGCTCTAACATATTAAAGTGGTGAATCAATTAATCACAGTATTACTTAATCTGCATTTTAAAGCGGGTCGGTTCAAACAGTTTCTACTGTTCTGCCGTGCTAAGGAAAAACGCCGTATGAGCTTTCAGGCGTTGCCGAAATTCCCATGATAAAACGCGAATTTCCTGGTAAACTTTTGAATATTTTCCTCCCAATTTTTAAGATAATTTTGCTCGCAATTTCACCTAAAAATTCTGAAAATTTAAAGGAAGCATATGCATAACTACCATCGAAAACAAACATTTTATCGGTGGAAATTTGGCAACTTTCAAATGCTCATACGGCGTTCTTCCTTAGCACGGTAGTGTTCTTTTCGTATTTATTTATATATCTGGCGCTTGGGTCTTTTTGTAACTGACCGATTCAACTGTGAAATCGTGATGTAAATCTGATCTGAGCTTTTTTTTTTTTTTTTTTTTTTTTTTTTTTTTTACTAATTACTCTCCTAATTCGATCATCTAACGTTAGAAGTCCTCGGCCAAGTAACGCCGGACGTGGATTTCAGATTCGACTAAATTACTTCCGACCAACAACGACCATGATTTTTCGAGTCGGTTGCAGACTCCGGTTGTCGCGTCGCCGGCGGGGAGGGCAGCAAATCACTTTGTTTTTCATCCAATAGCAGAGCGTCATCAGAGCCTCCGCGTGAACGCTCATAAGTGCTTGATTGTTAAAGCACCCCTATTAGCTTTGTAACGGCGAATAAGGGTCCATTAATTGAGTTAAGTGAGGGCGTTCTCGCAAATTGGGTGCCCTTTGGGTTGGCTGTACGGTGAAATTTGCAACGCAACTTTAATTGTAAGTACTAAACACGAGGTGGAGCCGTGTATATCTCTCTCAAAGAATGTCCTAAAAAATATCTCAATTAAACTGATTTTACACAGCCAGCTGGTGATCCTTTAGTGATCGCGGTATACGGTGTTAGACTTCGCATGTATCATCCTGTCCCACATTGCGTTTTATCGCACCATTTACACAATATTTTCTAATACACGTTCTGAATCTGACACAGCACTTGCATCGTATTTTTCTATGATTAAAACTTTTTAAAAATTATTAACAAAATAGGCTCTGTGTTCCTATAGATTTTAAATGGAGCTCCGAAACTGTACCACTCTGTATTGGGATTTCTTTAATTCCTTTTACCCGCCACATTTTTATAATTTTAGAAAATCCTACTATAGTAATCCCACTTATTTCTAATGATCCCCGTGTCCCAACCAAAATGTTGAATTTTTCTCACATCCATTAAGTTGAAAATCCAACTGTTTTGTATATTTATCCCTTTCTCATATACTCTGTGAAAACGTTAATGACCTAAGTAGCTGAATGTTGCTAAACAATAATAACTAACTATTTCGTTAATACGTTCACGGAAACTATATTTACTGCATACGGTCAAATTCAGAGGGAAAAAATGATTAAAAGGATACCTAAAAAGATTTAAATATTCATAGTATAAAAAGATGCGGAACATCAAACGTTGCAAGTTGAAATTCGTGATCTGTAGAGAAGTTTATAACCTCCAAAACCGGAGTCGGAGCACCTGAAATTGCTCGTCATATTGTCCCTCTTCTGACGTAAGGGCGTTTCTCAATTTTCACGTGAGCCCTAATTTACATGTAAATCCATGCTCTCTGGGGCTCATCCAGAAATCAAGATACGACCCCAGTCAGAAGTGCAACGATATTTTGACCGCGTTAAGCAGAAATGATCCAAACCACTTCTGCTACTGCCAAATTCAACTGGGAAGTTAAATTTTCCACTAGGAAACGTTTGTGCGTATTCATTTGAAAATCTTGAGGAATTTTCATCCTACTATGCAAAATATTCCCCAAATTTTGCACAAAAATCCGTGCAACGGTTTTCATGTAAAAAATTAAAATGCCCAATTTGATCTGACAATAGCTGATGTGGCTTGGTTATTTTCTGCTGAACGCGGTCCGTTTAAAAGGAAAACTTACAGTGAAGTCAAATAGAATGAGAGCGAAAAGAGCTTGTTGACTGGGAGCCAACAGATCTGGAGAGCGTCATTTACGTGAAATTAACTCATTTGAATAAAATAGACAAGAGAACTATCTTCGTTTAAATGCTCTGAGCTTGATAGATAGGAATATATTTTGACATAAAGCTGGTAAATAACTTGACCTCGTGCCAATTGACACGAAGGGTAGTCAAAATACTCAGTGAAGTTTTGTTAACAGTGACTCTTTTCTCGCACTGACTTAGTTCACCTGAGTGCGCTATCGATGGCTAAAGTGCGAGACCACATATCTCCGTTTGCGACGTTGTTCGCTGATAAAAATATCTGTGCTCTTGTGAAACTTTTGTTTAATATAGGAAGTGAAACACAAACCAACGCTTTTATGTTGATTTTAGTTCAGTTTGCGGTAAAATTAGCACAGAAAACAATGGAGGGACTGGGGAAATGCATTCCTCCGATTGTAACGGTGACGGTGGTATTCACCACTCGTTTCGTAATAGATTTCCTCAAGAAAACCAGCTGACGGTTTCGAGATTGTAAACCGAAGGCTACGGTTTTTCGTGTTCTACTTCCCGTGTTAACAAACATTTTGTGTTGAAACTTTCTGTGTTGTAGACTTCCAGTTATACTTTATTTTTTCCTCGGAGAACTAATCTACGTAACTTCTTGACAATTTCCTTAATTTTTCTTCTCTATTTGTAGAATTTTTGGCGCAAATTTCAAACTAGAAAGTTGACTTCCTCCTCTTCCAAATAATAAAATAGGAGCGGAGATTTTGAAACACCGCAATGGAGATAATTTAGCCATCGATATGCTCCTTGTGCGAGGCGGTTCACTCTTTAAATACTTCCATCACCATTGGACTTCGATCAATTCACCTTAAAACGTGTCGTTTTTGGCTCTAAAATGAAATTGATTAAGTTTAATAATTTTAACAAAAATATTTAACGTTAACTCCCAGTTAAGTCGCAGGTTTTAATTTCAAAGTTCATCCGTGATTTTCGCTCGATGATGATAGATGATCAACTTTCTTAGTAATTTTTGCCCCAATGATGCGTCTAAAAATGTTTACAATTGATCAGTGGCCGATAGAATAACTGTTAAAGCAAATCTTTCAAATATGTCTTATATGAGATATTAATTGCTTTCATCAGTATTGCATCGTATCTGTTCCGTATTTGTATATTTCAAGATATTTTTTTTGTGTTGTTCGTTGTTTGTGTGCCGTTTCGAACAGAAAATATGTGGCATACGGCTTCTGGCTGACTCTTGTTGTCTCGCTGATGGAATGCATTTGATTCAATTATTACTAAGTCCAGAATTTTGTTTATCTCGATGACTTGCGGTTTTTTAGGAGAATATTTCGCCAGATCAATAACTAAACGCTCTTATTCATATACCTCCTGTATTTCACTTTGCTTCCTCCATTTTGAATGAGCGGCAAAAGAAATGCAAGAAGCTTGTCTGAAGTTTTGCGGGATGAAGTTTTTGGAGAGAATGTCAATTACTGTCAGTTACTATGCAGGATGTAAAGTTGAGAAGACTTGACTTACGAGAATGAAACGTTGACGACGAAACTTCAGGAGAAGGGCTCAAAGAAGCAAAGCGGGTGCGAGGAGGCTCGGAGATCTAGGGAATGAGGTGTTATCGTGAACATCCCGACAGACACCGCTCAACTCCTCCCAACTCTTTCGCTGGTAAGCTTGACGTTGAGGAGTTGAAATTTTTGCCCGGGATGTGAAGAACTGAGAGAAATAGTCGAGAGATTCTGCCTCGAGTC